ATCTGAGTTAGATCTCCCTGTGGAGCCCCAAAGTTGCTGTAAAGTCAATTGTATTAAATGTCACTTTAGAGATGCAGTTTACACCCTTGATGAGTTTGTGTCACTGTTTTAAAGATAAACTTCTACTTTGCAGTAATAAACTTCTCTCTGTGTGATATATTATTCAAGGATTAGCCAGCAGAGTTGAAGTTGATGGATGTTTTCTTTTTTTCCAGAGCTTAGTGCTTTTGGTGCTGTATTGTTGGAAATAAGGCATAAAATGAGATTAGTTCCAAGTCATCCTGTGCTGTTTGTGAGGCTAATTCTGTTTCCAGAATTTCCTTGGGTACTGCAATTTCCTATTGACTTCAGTGCTATCTCAGGAAGTCCTGTGCTCCCAGGTGTCATACGTGACAATCTGGTGTATCAGCACCACTTCACTTCATAGGTGAAAGTCTTGTTGCATATAGAAGCTTAGCATAGAATTACGATGGCTTTATATTTCAGCTCTGCCTTCTGAACACTTGTCTTCTCTGGAAGCCAGAATTGTCACCAGGGCAATTCAGAAAAACCTTCCCAAACAGTTACAACTATGTAATCTCCTCGGTTCTGTGTGTTTCTGTCCAGTCCCATGCACCCATTTTTGTCTTCAGTTATATAGCACAAGATGTATTTGTCTTCTTAAACCTCTAGCTGCCTTTTTGGTCCTGGTGCTAAGTCACAGTGGTACAATCAACACATTGGCCAACGTACTATGCTACAGCACCTTGAGCCCTGTACCAACCCAGTCTGACAGCTAATTCAGTCCAAATGAGCTAATTTAAGGTAGATTCGTACATCTTCATGCTCAGTTTCTATGCTAGGAGAATTTTTTTCCCAGCAAGCTTCTGGGATGTAAAAGCCTATTTATCTGGAGTTGAGAGGATAAAGTCTCACTGAATCAGTTATTGATAAAATTCAAAATTACAGCTGGGCATACATATCTGCAAACTTTTTTCCCATTGTCTGAGTATACGCAAATAAGGCCTCATTTCAGCCAGCTTTTTACAGGTCTTAGAACCAAACGTTCTTTTCACCAGGTCATATACCAGATTCTGGCTTAAGCCTGCTGGCTCCCTTACTAATACTTAAGCTAGGGAGAGAAATAAAGTGTAGTGGGAATTCAAGTCAGAAACCAGTAACAGTTTCAAGCCCCTTATTTTTCTGCTAGATGGTTCCAAAAGTTTAAACAAAAACAGATTTTAAAAAAAAAGCTTTTTTTTTTTTAGAACTAGAAATTCAATAACACAACAGTGAAACAAGGCCAACTTACTCCAGTGATGCACAGTGTTGCACAGTGTTTTTCATCCTTCCAACACCTTGCAGACTTGGAGTCCCTTCTGCTCTCAGATTGTCAGTAGTGTGACACTGTTCACTCCAGAAAAGTTTAGGCTACTTTGATCAGAATCTGTGATGATCAAAATCAAAGTTGTGGGCAGATTAATCAGCATAGATATACCAGGTAAATCCCACCACCTTTCATTCTTGGTCTTCATTTCAAAACAATCAGGGTCCATCCTGATCTGAATTATTTCTGTTCTAGATGAAGAGGAAAGTTGAATCTGTATGTGAGAGACTTCACTGGTATCCTGTCAGATGTCAATATTCCTATAAACCTCCTTCTGGCAAGCCACTTAAACCTAGACTTATCCTACTAATTTGAGATTCATGTGAGTCATTTTCATTAGTTACACTTGTGCAAGCTGCACAGAGGGGTCTGTAACCAAGAATTGTCTGGGTGCACTCACAGGGCTTTGCACAGTGAGTCCCAGATTTGGCTTTACTGAGTGAGCATGAGCAATGGCTAAGTGGAAGGTTAACTTCCCTATGGATTAGGATCTCACATGTCACTGACTTTTGCCTGTTAAGAGTTGCAAGGTTTACCTACATCTACCTCTTGTCTGATACTTTGATGTGAGCTCCTGTTTCAGCCTTTCTCCCAGTCATGGCAAGAATTAATTTTCTCATCCTTTTTCAGCTGTTGTTTTACATAAATGGCTAGCACTTAAATCTCTTGGATTCTTCTTTTCCTTTGGAAAATTTGTTTGAAATCATGCGGTAGATTTAGAAGGTATTGCAACCAGGACACAAAGGCAGATGCTCAGGTAGTGTAATCTTACAAATTAATTATAAAAAATATTATATCTTCTTTTGGCTTCAGTAATGTTTTATTTGGAAGGAATTAAGCTCCTCTGAATTAATAATCTCATGTTCATCAATATTCTGAGGAAGAATGTTTTTATATGCCTTCTTATTATCTTGACCACCCTATTACATTTCTTCTATCGGGTTTGGACCACATCTCTGTGTCATAGTTACTCCCCCGTGGTAATGCCGTGGTGAAATAAAAAAACAACCAGAACTAGGAGTAATATTTTGACTATAGACATTTTCAGATGCTTAACTTGATAAGAGATCTTCCTCACCAGTTTATTTTGGGTATACTGAAACACAGTAATGCCCAACAGCTTTAAAATGTTTCCATGGTTATATAATACAAAATAAGTCTTCAAACATGAATTTTATATTCCATTAATTTTGGTCATTGTTGATTTTAGAGCATATTAGATCATCCACAAATAGGAGGTCTTTAGAGCATCAGGCTGTTTAGGAACAAGTGGTGGACAGTTTTGGAGAACTTCTCTTTCTCCTTGGCATGCTTTTATGATAATTCAAATACTGGAGATAATTTACAACCCTGCTGGTGCTATACCAGAGACCTTATGTGATGGAATTTATATCACTTTTCCTTTTAGACATTTAAACCACATGTCATTCTAGAAAAACGAGGACAGAGGTCCAACAAGGGAGTGATTTATTTTCAGTTAAAATACTAGCTACATTAAAACCACATGTTATTAAGTACTGTATAACCAAACCATGCTCAGAAGAAGGCTTACGACACCAAAGCTTGCTTAAAATGTTTCTTTTTTCCCAAAAAAAAAAAAGTTTGGCAGTGCATACATTAACAGACTTCACCTGAGCTGCACAGAACATTGGCTATAATTTGTCCTTGATGAAACAAGTTATTAAAGTACCGGACTACAAGTTAATTCAGTTCCTTATTATTTTTTTCACATTTCTACATAGTTGAACTTTTCTGTACATTTTAGGTAACATTGCATCTCTGTGAATATCTCTCCTGAAACAGCATAATACGATTAAGGTTGTTAAAGCTGAAACATAGTTTTTCAAAGTGAAACAACTTGCATTTTGGGCATTTTACCAGCATGAACTCTCATAATGCTCCTGTGAGAAGAGTAAACTAATGCACAGTAGTGCACACAAATCCAAGACCAGAAGGGAAATCAATACGAAGGGAAATCAATAGAATTTAAGAGGCCCCAATTTTGTTTTCAGGAAGCAGATGCTGAGGACCAGTTTCTGTCCTCGTTATGCTACACTTACCACACCAAATTGCCTAGGACTCAAAGGGAATTTTTTATGCTAATATTGCCAGGTGAGTTTTCCAAAGCTCAACGGAGATGACCAGTGAAGGATTCATCCTATACAAAGGACTTCTGCAGTTGCACCAAGCTTCCATGATGGTTTTGTGCATATCTGGATGATAGCGGCACAGAGAGGGTGCTTGGGGGACTGGGAACTTAGCTGGCTCATCTGTATGCTTCTGGTGATTGTTAGATGCCAAAACCCTGTCAAGATATGCTGGTATCAAATGGGGAAGAGAAAGTGTTGCCTCACTGTTCAGACTTTATTCAATGTGCAACTTGCATGGACTAGAAAGCCTGTCCCTGTGTTTTCTAAGAACTGCACAGACATTCACAAATGACAACAACTCCCCTGTCTCAAAGGTAATCGGTGGAAAGTCTTAGCCTTAAAATGGAACTAGCCAGTTACTGTCAAACAGTCTTTAAACAAAACAGGAATCAGAAGCAGCAAATTTCTCTGCTTGTATGCTTGAGATCATTCTAATTCAGATGTTACAGTCACATCTGGATATCATTAATACTACCTTAAGCTTGCCTGGTATTCTCATTTCTTTTGAAATTGCTTAGCTCAAGCAGATCCTGAAGTATTGATTCTGCATCAGTAACATACTACAATGTGTAGCAGCTTTAAACGAAAAGAGATACAACAGCTTATGAGTCCTTTTTCAGCCCTTGGCTGCCTAACTGAAATAAAGTATATGTAGTAGACAATATAGTTTACTAGACAATAGAAACTCTACTGAAATAAAGCTGTCTAGTTTGCTACCTTGTCTTGGAGGGAGATCAATACCAAGTAATGCAGGAGGTGTGCAAGAAGCCACACAGTGGCATAATACATTGTAGCACAGTATGAATTAATACTATAATAATAATAATATAATGTCATTACATATATTGTAGCATAATATGAATTAAGCATGTCCGAAATTCTTATTGAATCACCTCTCCAATAAGCCCTTATGCTGTACAGTATATTTTATTTTATTTTATTTTAATTAGATTTAATTTAATTTAATTTAATTTAATTTTAACAGCCTGGTAGGTACACCTGTAGTCACAGCTGAGATATTGCTGCCTAACTGCCGTAAACAGTGTGTAAACTCACAGTAGGAAATATAAGGCAGCTGCACTCCTGCTGCCTGCTTTGCCTTTGCTGAAGCACTAGAAAGCTGGTGCTACTGCCAGCGCTGAAAGAATATCGTGGCGCACAACATGACAGCTTCTTCTGTGTCAAGTTGATTGGAGAAGCCCTGTTTGAGGCTCTGCCCTTGGGCAGCAGTTGGAGTAGCAAGGTTGTCTCTCCAGGTGTCTCTCAATCTCACTTTCCAGTTCTGGATTATTGTCCAGAAATCATTGTCTTCCATTGGTTTTCTTTCCTAAAATAATGCAAGAGATTTTACATTTTCACTGATTATAATTCTTGTTCTCTTTATGTAGGTCTCAAAGCCTTCTTCCTTTTTCTTAATTTAGATTATCACCTATCTTTTCTTCATATTGTATCATCCAATTGACTTGTCTTCTCCCCTTCCCTAGATGTTTCCAGATGTGTGGCTGAGAGGAAGTACACCCAGGAACAAGCTCGCAAGGAATTTCAACAAGTGTTTATCCCAGAATGCAATGATGATGGCACATATAGTCAGGTTGAATTTTTTTCATTTAGTATCTTGCATGGCTGGAGTCAGAATATGTGTGTTTGCAGAGGATGAAGAAGAGACAAATGCAATGAAGGAAAATGTAATTTCAATATGAAGTGTAATTTGTGCTTAACACTGAAGTTGAAAAATGGAAGGAAAATTCATGTTTTGTGTCAAGTCCTTGTTCTTTTTTTTCAGAGTTGGCCAGCAAAAGAGCCAAACATTTTCATTGTTCATGTGATACACTCCCTGTTCTTCTAGGCTGAGGCAGCTGAGTCATTCATGTAGCCCCCTGAATACTCATCAGATGGTAAAATGCTTGGAATTTCTGATCTGTTCCTGATTCAAACAAGAAATCTTGTGTCCAGAGTCCATATCTTAGTGCTAAAGCATGAATCATACAGGATTCTTCCCTGTTCTCATCTGAATTTCTGTAGAAGCATATGGTCTGAGACTAATTTACTTATGTTAGATCATGGAATTCAGAAGGGACACAGTTAGAAGCTTACCCTGTGATATATATTTCAAGCAAGATCACCTTCTGCTGCCTCTGTACTGCATTTCAGTTGTGGAGTTTGCAGAAGACAATCCTTCTAATTTTAAGTACGGTGAGGGAAGTGATAGTGTCCCTCAGGAAATATAATGCAATTGATTTCTAAGAGGAATTCCAAGAGTTTCCTTTCTGACATCTTGGGATATGAATAATGTTGGCAGAAGCGCTCTGTCCTGCTCCTTCAGTGGGTGGAACAATATGTTCTCTATGTGGAAAAAACCTCAAGATTGCTTGTTTCAGGAACAGTTTATGAGTCCCTTGAGGGACTTTGTTGTGAGGTTATCATAACACCTGCACCTCACTCTTCTGAAATATGGTGTAAACAACCACATATTTCAATAGTTTTCTCTTCCATTGGATTCTGAAGGACCTACCACACTTTGCTTGAAATAAACTCTTCTTTATGCTAAAGAATCATATGTAGGACTGAGATAAGGTCTTTTATGGTTTATTGTTCTAGGTTTTGTCAATATAGTTTCCTGGACTAGTCTTCTGTACTCACGTGTCATGAACATTGTGGGATAACAGACGTAAGTCTGACAAACTGCATGTGGTTCATGTTGTTTCTGACAGGTTCAGTGCCACAGTTACACTGGATACTGCTGGTGTGTCACCCCCAACGGTCGTCCTATCAGTGGTACTGCTGTGGCCCACAAAACGCCCCGGTGTCCAGGTAAGACTTGTTTAGCTGGCTGGGTTATGACATTGTCTCATGAATAGCAGACTTCATCTGTGGCATATGATCAGACTTCAGGAACAAAATTCTTCACTGGAAGGGTGGTTCAGCCCAGAAACAGGCTCTGGCAGAAGCTATGGATGCCCCATCCTTGGAGATTTGCAAACTCAAGTGGATGAGACTCTGAGAATGTTGGTCTACCTTTTAAGCTAGCCCTGCCTGAGGTTACTGCTACCCTGTGATTCTATGATCCATCTGCTTTATTTGTGCTATAATCTAGCTATTGAAGGGGTTTTCTGCAGTGGTTATTTGTACAAAATATATGTGTCAATATATGGAACTGTGCAACTGACTTGCTAAGGCAGTCCTTTCTTCATGTTGAAACTCACTTGCACATAAGTTCGCTTATTGTGAAAAATTTCAGAGGACTTTACCTGCTCAATATTTTAAGTATTTAAAGTATAGAAAAAAACCCAAAACCACATACCAAAAAAATATGGAGTATGAATGTCCTGATTTGTAACATAGCCCAATGAAAGAACTCCCACAGCAATTTCATGAATGACAAAATCCAGAGGAGAAAAAAAGTGAAACAAAGCATTAAGACTATAATGGAATTTTGTGGAAATTAATTGGCAAATCAAACTCATTGCCATGTGTACTGCCTTTTGTCTTTCATCAGGACAATTAAGAGGTTCACTGTTTTTTAGGAATTTGCTTCTGACTCTATTTCATTGACATTGATAGTAAATATAAATCGGCAGTGTATGAACAGTTGCCAGAATTGCTGTTCACCTCTCTTGAGGCTGACAGAATTGCACAGAAATAGCTCTAAAGATACCTGAGTTCTATGTGCTACTTTTCTGTTTGTGCTGCAGCATCATTCTCTGTCAGAAAGCAGAAGAAATAGCTTTAAAAAGCTAAGCTTGCAATGTAAATAAAGCTGAAAAAAAAGGTGGATTAGGGCCCTTGAAGGAATTAATCTGGTCTGATCTACTTCAATTGTTCAAGCACAACATTGATTTTTTAAAATAAATAGATGTAGGAAGGAAGAGACTGCTGAGAAAGTTGCAACAAAGACTATAAAAAGTTAATTCCACTTTTAAGGTGTGTCTTGCTTAAATGATTTGCAGAATCTTCCATGTATCTTGCCTGTAGGTGAAGTTTAGCCAGAAAGAATACTCTTCAGACTAATCCTTTTGATCCAGTCTGGAAAGTCACTGTGGAATGACAATCAACTGTGAAAAATAATATAAAATGTTCAGAAGCTTTAAAATAGAGAAAAATGTGCATTCAGTTTAGTGTAATTATTATTTATAACTGGACCATGTCTTCAGAAGACACATTGTTAGGATAACATTGTTGTGCTTCACTGTTTTCTTGAGTAGAGGTGCTTTTGCATGTCCATAGCCAGGGCTTCTCTGAAAGATGCCTTCATTGCTTTCTTTGCAATATCAAATTGTAGCTTCCTCCCTTTCACTGACATCAGTGAAAAAGTGTTTATGCTGATGCTTAAAGGTCAACAAGTAATTGTTTGGCAGGTGTGTCACAACAAATGGCATTATTTTTGCTCAAAATGTTGCTGAGTTAGTTACTGTACTTTCACATTTTCTATTTGTATTCAGTATTATTGAGGAGAAGCTGCAGTGTAGTTCCAGGTTAATTAATAGTTTAATATGAGAATTATTCTATCTCTACAGGAACCAAATCCTAGTTCCTCTCAAAGGTATGTTCATGTGCCTAGCAGATAAACTGCCAGACTGCTTCAGCTTATTTTTGGAGGGGTGGGCAAGGAAGTTAATTTTACAGAAATGCTAAGGAGAAGGTGATAGTAGCAATCATTTTTAATTTAGTAGGTAAATCAGAGATAAATAGACTGCTCAGGGGACCAGGTGAGTCTGCAGAATCTGATTTTGCTCCATAGAAGATCATGGGTCGTTTTCCAGTTGTTATGAGACTCTCTGGGATTATCTGTACACATTTCCTCCCCTGCTTGTATCAGTGCTCTCCTATTTTACTGCTCACTTCATTTTACTTCTCTTTTGTCCCTCAGGAAATAAGTCTAGCTACAGCAGAGTTTGGAAATAGATTTTAAATGCTAGGAGATTTTGCAGTGGTAGTGGCTAAGGGCTCAGTATTAAGAGGTCTGGAGAAAACTTCACATTCAGCAGAGAAGGCAACTACAGTTTTTCTCAGAAAGTTATGTGGTATAATAAGGCAAAACTTTGCTCTTACATTGCAGAATGAAAGCCTGAAGCACCCTTCTCCCATTTCCCAGTATATATTCAAATTTGCCATCTGTTTAGGATAACAGAGGGGGGGGGGGGGGGCAGGGTTTGTTTTTGTTTTTCTGCCAGAACTGTTGATGTTTTCCAGATCACTGTTGATTCCCTTTTGTACTTTTTCTTTAGTACCACTGTGCACGGGAATTACAATAAAAATATTAGCGAGTATACTGAAGTTGAGTAGATGTACTCTTGTTTTAACTAGTATTTCAGGGATGCCATTTGTTCCAGTTGTCTATTGCCTATTGTCCCTAGTCAGTTTAACACATTGTGTCATTGCTAGCCTTGTTGCAGGCATTGTCTTGCTTATGTTTTTGATATTGCAGGCATATCTCCTATAGTGGTGGCATCCTGACACCAGCATGTTTGTGTATTTCACTGTGTATTCTGCAGGCATGATGCTATAGCTATTTAAAAAATGTTTATGCAAATTTGTCAGTTTGCATGTACCAAACTTTTTTCTCTCAAGATCACTTCTGCCATCTTTTTCCCTTTAGAGGAAAATGTGCACAGACAATCAAGATGGCAGGTAGAGTCAATTGTGAAGATGCTTTTGTAATGATTTTCTCATAGGAAATGTGATACCATGGAATGTGTGAAAATTTCTCTTTTTAATGAAAATGTTCAGTGGTTTTCTTCAGTTCTAGGTTAGCTCTTCAGTAACTTCAGATAAGGTTTGAGTACATGTCTAATCAACCGTGCTGTTCCTAAATTGTGGGATAATGTCTTGCCTTTCATTTTCTCCCAGTAGAACCACCTTTGACTTTGGTGAATATCTAGAAATAGGAAAGAAGAGCATGGCAGCCTGGAAGAACTTGGATTTTAATAGAGGAAATATGGAACAAAATTTAGGATGGAGAGTTAGGGGTTTGTTTTCCTACTTCCATTCCCTAGCCATGCTTCACATTTTCTGTGTGGTATTGGATAGGTGAAACAACCTGTAGGTTTATCTAACTGTTAATATTGGTTAGCTGCGTAACATGGTGCTTCTTAAACAGGTCCTGGGACAGAAGTGTCACGTGTATTTTTTTTATGTATCTACAATAGCTGTATGAGCCATTTTTTGCTCATTGTGTTGTTCTGGTTGCTCTTACTGAAGCTATCTTTTTCATTCATGGAAGGATGAAGGTTATAAGCAGCATTAAAAATGCAGGACTCTCCAACTGATTTATGTAAAACCTTTGCTTTAATTACTACCTCTTTACCTGTAAGAGGCTCTTCCATCCTTTCCAGTTATTCCCACACCAACACTTGGTACTGCTAAAACACACATGATAAATCTCAGAATGCCATTCCGCTCCATTGAAATAATCTTCACTGTTGCAGGAGCAGTGGTGAGAAGGATAGTAAATCAAACACATTCCCATGACAGCATTAAAAAGAAAGCTCCTTAAAAATGATGAATGTCGACCAATACTTTCAGTAAAGAACACCAGACATGAAAAAGACATTTTTACAACTCCCCATCTCTGTTATCAGCACTGCAGGGAACTGCAGAAATTCCATTGGCAATGAGTCCTGGGAAATGGGGCAGAAATTGAGAAGCAGGTGTTAAGTTATCATTGGAAAATAAATGTTAGCCTATTGTAGAGTTTTTATGTCCTATTAACTATGCTGGGCTTCTCCCAGTGAGATTGCAGAGATAGGGAGACACGTTTTGTTATTATGTGAAGTAGTTTTGCCAAAATACAAGTACCTTTAAATATTCAGAACTCTTCCTGTCTGTATAGTGTTATCATCAGATAATATGATAAAAACAAATGTATTTGTGAAGGCAATGAGCTTTTAAAAATACATTATATTGCTTTTGTTAGCTAGGAAAAATACCCATCCTTGAATCATCTAGACCTCCTATCCCCATACATAGTACTTTCCCGATACAGACGCAGTCAGACACACCCATATGTGAGACAAAGAACAGCATGGAAAGTTTACTTTCATGTTTCTTGATATCTGCATTTGGTGATTACATATCAAATATTCTTTAGTAGGAGATCAGAAATAATTCTCTAAACTAGATAATAGACTTTCACCTTCTCTTTTAAAGCCCAGTCACATATGATCAGAACTGTAGAAAATGGATATGCTAAAACTATAGACAATAAAACTCACATCGCATTCCCTGGAAGATTTATTGTGCCTCAGAATTTGTTAAGAAGTAAACTGGGTGGATTGTGGGGGTTGCAATAAACTAAGGCATTAATATTTCTGCCTTTTTTTTTTTAATTAATCAGAATTGTAAGTGGATAGATGGCTAAGAAAATGTACAAGCTAGAATGGTACTAAATTCTTCTGGTTAAAATGATGCTGTTGAATCCTCTTTCCCCTCTCCCATTCTATAAATATATTTATGTGGTGATTTGGTTGCTTACAATGCACTAAAAAATTGGAAGCTGATTGTATTGTCTAACTTTTAGATAAGTTATAAGTTGCTGTTTCTGTTTCTTGCCTAGCTGAAAATATGAGCATTTGTCGTGAGTATTGAAGATACAATTTCCTAGAAACTTGCAAATGCAACTTCCTATCAACATTTAAGCTAGAATTCTACCTTAAATATATTCAGAAAATCATAGAAAAAACTGATACAAGCTCAATAACCTGTCCTTACCTCCAACTTGGAGACAGTAAGAAAAGTTTCTACTGTATAAATTCAAAATTTCAGGTGGAAACTATGTGAAGGTCGCAGATTTCCCATTGTAGGAAATTCTGTGAACATTTTTGCAAGCTTCCTAAGACTATTAAAAAAGTTAATGTTAGCCCAGTCTGCCCGATCTTCCTAGCATTTATCTAATTTCATAGTGAAATCAGATTCACTATGATAAAGTTAGCCTTTGTGAATGCCACTCTCTCCCTCCATCCATCAATTTTCTATCAAAATTTAGGGTAAAACAAAAAGCAAAGCATAGAAAAAAGAATTAAATTCTCCCTGACTGTACATGAATGTCATATAGTCATTATTTCTCACAATTTCACATACAGATGGAGTAGTCTGAAGACATCTTGGTATTAATAAAATCTGGAAAGATGTTTCTGCTTTTGGTTTAAAATGTGGAATATTATATAAATTTCACCAATGTGTTAAATTATGTAGGTATAAACTGAATTTTAAGTTACATTTGTAATAGTGGTTCTGAATGCACATAGAGAGACAACACTGGTGTCAAACTGAGGCTTTACTTAACACACTTTTTAGCGCAAAGGGCCTGTCAGTGGCAGTTCTTGATACACATTCCCCATGCTGAGACCTCATTTCTACTCACAAATTGGTGTAAAATGCTTTAGTGTGATTGAGAGTCAGACCTAAAATCTCTGTATTTGTAACTGAATTAAAATTATATGCTTGTGCATCAAAATTAAATTGAGAAACTAGAGTTAATTGTAATTGGATGACATTTGAGGAAAGATTGGATCACTGGTATTTAGTGCAATTAGCAAAACCTGTAATTTTGTATGTGGTACTTCCTAAAACTGGAACATCTTATTTGAGTTCAAGCTGAGCCTCTTATCAAATTCAAGCCAAGCACCAAAAAGCTCAGAACTTCTGGCTTCAGCTAGTATAAACGCAAGAATCTGTCTTCTGTTCAGAGTGAACAGCACGGATTAGTATTGCAGTCTATTTAGAGCAAGCTATCCCAAACGTCCTTGGATATAATTCCTACAATGATAATGACTTTATTTTTCCTGTCTGAATTAATAGTGATGCATCACTAAGTATATTGAATTTCTGGTGATTCAAACGTAATACAATAAAAATACACTACCACCAAAAGAGGAAATGAGTCTAAACTAGAATATTGTTGATAAAAGCTGAATCCTTCAGAAGGTAATACCAGCTTGGCTGCATTATCTTGTATTCGTTTATGAAGGCTTTAAAATCAGCATGCCAGATTTGTGATGTTAGCTGTCTTCCCTCTGGCAGACTCCTGTGTCTAAACTTCATGCTGAAGTAACCATCAGTTCAGCATGGTAAACAAGGCCTGTGATGTAGTGGGTTCTCTTATTTAAATTGTTCTTTTAGGACAGATTTATTGTGCTGCAAGATTTGGGGCTTTTTGTTTGTTTGTTTTAAACCCAGTGATTTTATTAGTTATTATTTATTAGTTATTCCAGAGGGAAGTAAATTAAGAAAATTAAGTCAACCAAATTATTTCTCACACTTCCAAGCATCTGTCAGATGTGAGGTTTTTATTCCTTAAAGCAGGTGTACGTAAGAAGAGACTGGTAAGAATTGATAGACATTATGCTTTTTGATTTTTGATTACTCCATGTGGCTCTTCAGAGAGAAAAATACCACTTTTAAAGGTGTTTTTTGTGGAGCAGAGATAGATATGTTGATAATAAGTGGCTAATGAGTCATAAGAATAAGGAAGTCTTTCTTTTAAATCCTAAGGACATCCTCCTCCTGAAAAAAATACTAAGAAAAGTAGATTCTCCATTTCTTGATTTCTTGAAATCGAGACTGGATGCTGGGTTGCGTTGGAGTCCAGGTTGGTAGAATGAGCTGTTAAAACCCATCTCCTGCAAACTTTGTGTCTCCCTTTCCACCACTGCTGTCTCCTTTCCTAAGGGTCACAGCTCTGGGGACATCTCTTGCAACCTGCTCAGGCTCAAACTCAGAATAAGGTGCTGTCGCTGCCTCCCCCAACACACACACTGTTCCACACCAGCACAAGGTTTCCGGAGGGCTTTGTGTGAGGTACTTAAAGCAGAAAGGAGCAGTTTTTAATCTTGGCCAGGACTGGGCTACAGGCTGAAGAAGCCCCTCAGAGCAGCTGAGGTGTGTGGGCAAGACTCTGTGCATGTAGTAAGGGTGCTGCCCTGCACAAGGGACTGTGAGGGAGTAGTGCTGGGGCGATGCAGGACCTGTGCTCACTGGCTCAGTGGGGAAGGGACACATAGACTCTGCAGCACGTGAGCATGTTCTTTCACTTGTGTCTATGGCAGTGTTTAATGTTATCTCTTTCTCAGGTCCCGTGGTGGCCAAGAAGTAGCATCTGACAGTAAATTGATCATACCAAATGCAGAAGTGAGGCAAAGCTAAAATCTTTGGTTTGCAAGGGAAGAATTTGCTGATATTTATTGCTGTCGTAAACAAAAATAAATAATTAAAGCTGAACTGTGTTTCTTGGAAAATGTATTAAAAGTGAAAATATTTTTCTGGTTAATTCCTTTTTCCTATTGCAGGTTCAGTGAGCGAGAAGCTGCCACAACGAGAAGGTGCAGGCAAAACAGGTAAATATCTTATTTGGCCTTCATATAGAAACTAAAATAGCTGTGGGATACACCACTGTGATTTTCCATAGATGTAAATTATCAATATATATTCATCATGTATTATAGCTACATATAATATGTATACATACATGCATGTATTTGTCTATGTATGCATAGACATATTTTTCTAGCCTCAGCCCTACAGACTTCGCTATTCTGTGCAGTTTGAAAGATAACTTTTCTTTCCATAGCTATACTCTGAAATATTTTTCCATACTGTTTGCTTGCTCTGGAGGACAGATTATTCTATCTGTTTGATAAAGACAGCATTCTGCAGTCCCAAAATCTCGTGAACTAGAGTCCTCACTTTAGTTCCATAGCAATCAATGCTTCAGTCATCTTGGACTCAGCACTTTGCTCTATATAGTGACTAATTCACCGTATGGCTTACATTCATGGCCAGATGATTGTTGTTGTTAGAGATAGATCATGGTGTATATCTTGCTGGCAGGACAAAATCTGATGTGACTCCAACATAGCTGGTAGATTTAAATAAGGGAGATGTTTATGCTTAAACAAAATTAAAGCTTACACTCTCCAAATACTTAAAAAAAAATTAAATTCACTTCAAAATAACATACTAAATGTTGCTGTCAGTTGCACTGGCATAAATTAATTTTGAAGAAGTTATTCCTATTCATGCTAATTGTCATGGTTTGAGCCTATCCAGCTGGCAACAAAAG